TGAGGATAAACGGTTTTATTGTTCACTAGATTCTTTAATAGCAATATCAAATGGGAAAGTTTCAAACACGTTCCCTTAGTGCTTAACGCAATCTCCTGCACTTCTTGCTTTTTATTTTGCTTTAGCATTTTACGTATTGTAGTTCAATGAGTGCTTTTTTCTTCAGTCCAGATTAAGTTCGTAGTTATAGAACACTATACAGCTTAATTAATACTCGCTTCATTGTAACCCGGTAGTATTAATTGTACATTTTCTTCATTGCTGCAAGAATTTCACCTCTCCAGCGCTGCACTAATTGTAAGAACAGTCCTTTATTGTGTTCCTTTAATGATTCGTTATAACATTTTTTTTTATTTCCTACTTAAATACGGGAAATGCGCTTTATGGGTATATTTTGAAATCGTTGTTTTGTATTAAAGTCATTTGTTAATATAACATTTTCAATATAGTTGTATGTGGCATATTATGATAATAACTTAAATTAGTATCTCAATTAAATGCGAGGAGAAACTAAATGGTAATATTAACCTAAATTAGAAATTGGTGAGTCTAGATTATACAAAATAGATATCAAAATATCACAGTAAAACAAACATTGAATTACAATATCATTGCTTTGTTATGGGCAACAATATAATAAACAGTTAACATAAATTCCTAAACTCAAGCTATTCAGAAACACTTGAACCCGAAATAGTGAAAGAACAGGATAGAAATTATTCCCTTGCGTGCAGTTGCATCGCATTGACAGTCAGATCAGGTGTTATGCACCGCGGTAACATAGTTTCAACGTGTTCCTTGGATTGTGATCACTTCACGTTTCGCATGAGGAATAAACTTTGGTAACGTGAAATTAAGCCCTTTGTTAAGCTTAAGAACTGTGTATTACCAAACTTAAGATATTAGCTTTTATATAGAACTTTATGTGAATCTCTCACGTATATAAGTTAATTAATAAGTTTTGGATTAAATACTGTCTATAGTTTAAGCGAGTAGAAACATTAAAAAAAAACATTTCAACGGCTTTGAAACGCGATATATAGTTTAACTATGAAAATATATGGCCTCCCCGTGACCACGGCTGTGCAAAGCTCCGAAACGTGGGCAGTTAAGAACATTTTCAAATAAGTGTAACTATTTATCGCGTTTTAAAAGTTTTGGATTTAAAAGTTTTGGTTTTGGTATATTTAATTTTATATATATAATTATAATGTTATAGTATTTTTTTCATGCTACACATCAAATTTCTGTGCTCATTTCATTAATCGCTTTTCATGACAGACAATTTCGTAAGACTTTTATATGTGCGACTGAAACATATTGATTGTTTCCCTGAGTTTAGATTTCAGGTCCTCTAGTGATCAACGTAGTACTCGCAATTGGCTACAGTGGTCATTTATACAGTTACAAGGCATAAAAAGAAAATCTCTACATTCGCGTAGGCATTTGTCGTAGCTCCTTCTACGAGCGAACGTCATACGTAGTTCGCCTGTGGTTACGATGTAGCACATCTACGATTATGCTGAATTAATAATTATTTGAAATTCAAAAAAATTGGTGTGAAATGGAACAGACGCAAAATCATTTGAAGTTGTTCTAATATTTTATAGGAGGTTTAAAACGCGAAATTTATTAGTTAACTTTTTTATCTCAACTATAAGGTGACGTAGGAGATTTTACAAGCTGTAAACAGTCAATTGTCAGTCCCTCCATAGCAACTAAGACTGATGCAAAGCATCCGAAACGACGGGTCAAAGTTGAAATAAAATAGCCTAGTATATTTTACGTTTTTAACGGTTAAAAGTGTTGTATTTAAAAATGTACTCGCGTGAACTGTAGACGATATTGATTGTTTATTAGTAGTTGTAGTCTGAATTTTATTATTAACTTATTTACTCCGAGTTCACTCAGATAGGTTGTTGGCTTCTAAAAGAGGGGTAGCCAAACTTTTTTTTTAATTAAGCTTCTTTGAGATCCGCATAGCGTAAAGTTCGCGATAGCTTAGTCATGACACAACACGAATGTGTAATTTGCGGCCGAATAATAGCAATATTAATTAATAACTTGAAAGTTAGCTCTGTCACCCTGTCATTAGTTTGTACAGAGATGTATGAGTGTATCAATCATTAAAGTGTTATCGGGTTTGCACACGACGTGCCTTCAAGTTTGTATCGTGTTAGTTATTTGTATGGTTTTAACTATACCCACGTCAAATCCCTTCCAGACTAGGAAAATCTATTGCGTTTGAATGTTCAGATATTTCATGATAAATAATTATTTACATGGATTGCGCCCATTAAATTATATCACACACACTTCACATATTTTACGTGATAGTACTGAAGCAAATAGTGCGATGAATATTGAACGGTTTAAAACGTCAGATCTGTGAGTTTATCATTATAGATGGAATTCGCTATGCTAGCAACATTTTTTAATTTGATTTTAACATTAGATACACCCTCTATCTTCAGTCCCCCCCGTGACCACGGCTGCTACAAAGCAGTCGAAACGTCGAGCTGGATACATTTTGAATAAACTAAACAATACATTTACGTTTTCAATCGTTAAAAGTGTTATCGTTTATTTGTTTTTAATTGTCATATTGAATGCTTTTCAGCTATTATGTAACTGCAATAAGGACAATTGAGAGATAACATGTTTCTTTAGCATGGTAACGCGTTATGTAACGAGGTGATTGACGTTCTTTTAAGATTTGTTACTACTATTAAGTTTAATTATATAATTCAAAACACTCATAAATATCAAAGAAGCCCAAATTATTTGATAAGTAATTTGATATTTTATATTAATAAAGTCTAGCTGTATTATTTTACATTCTATACCATTTGCAATATTGCATCTCACCTTGGCATCTTTCTTACCGAGGATTAATATTAAATTGACGTAGAGCTGGTGTCAATAAGGTTATACGTCTAGCGCTGATGAGGCAGTAACTTGCAAGGCGGACAGGCCATCATACACGATGGCACCCCATTAACTCTACGCTGCTCTATTCCGTTAAACGTCTTGGTCACTGTCTTGCAGGAAATGACCGCCGTCGTTAAATATTATGTTGAGAATGGACTATAATTTAATTGAGTTGACAATCAAGTCTCGCTATAAATATAAGGTTTATCTTCGTATTTAGTTTTAACACAGTATTGTCTCCGAAAGATAGGAGGATTTCTTATAGCAAAGCTATCTTGCTACACTCAATAGATATAGGAAAAACAAAATGATAATCAAAATCCATTATGTAAGTATCATCACTACGCTGTTAAGCGAAAATTAGTACCTAGTTCGAATTTCAGGAAAAAAGTTAAGTATATTCTATTGTAGTTTACGCGAGTAGTATACATTTAAATAAAACACTTTAACGGTTTAAAACACGACATATTATGTTAGTAAAACTTATTTGGAAATTATTTTAGTGTCTCCCCGAGACCACGGCTGCTGCAAAGCATTCGAAACATCGGGCCGTGGTTAAAATAATTTCTAAATAACTTTAACTAATATATATCGCATTTTAAACCGATAAAGTGTTTTATTTATATTTATTTATATTAGTATATTCTTGGCTGTATGCAAACTATTTATCTGCCGCATGCAAAGAAGTTTTTACTATGTGTATTTGTGGTACTGTCCCAAAATAAAAGCAAGATAACAACTGAACGCAGACAGATTAAAGTTCAATTCCATAAATATCACCCATTACATTACTGGTTCGGCCTATTGGTTGCCATTATACAAAATATTTCCACGCCGCAAAACCGCAAAAGCGCCGGAATTCCCGTTTAAAGAATAGTTAGGCCGGCATTTTCTCTACGTCACCAGCGGCCAATTTAAGTATTAATAAAATGACAAAACGTGACCGGGTACCCGTGCCATCCATCACCAACACACGTCAAGTGGTGTCCGGGCGATTAAAAACTGTACCTAACCACTGCCCACACGAGTGTATTTCGGGGCCGTCCGGTTAATATTCTAGACAAGGGTGAGATTAAATATTAAACAAGTGGTTAGAAATTTTGCCTTTTAAAACTGAGGGTAAGCTAGCCGGTGTGCCCGGATCAAAATTCAGTTTGCAGACCGCATCCGGCTTTCAAAACAATGTAATGTAATTTTTACCATACCGCGTAGTTAGCGAATGCTTATGATGTTACAGTATTTATTTACATAATCTATTTTGCATTTTAAAATGCTTTTTCGGAAGCGAACAGTGTTTTCACTTTTTATTAATGCAATATTCGAATATTGATATTTGTTGGTTTATAAGATAGAAATGCATGAATGTTTTGTTATGTAAACTTTGCTTACGTACGTGCTTTAATTTCGTAATAGCTTGTAATAGTAGTATTCTACAAGCATTTTTATTTGCGACTTTATGTAAAACGGTTGCGTTTCACGAACTCGAAATTTAATTTCTTCACGAGTGCTAGACGAGCACAGTAAACAGCGTATTAAACTTTTATATTAGCAGAAAAAAGCAACAAATTATTAATACACCGTTTAAAGAAACGAAGAAAACGTTTTACAGTAGTAGATTAATTTTAAAACAGTTTTCTTTTTCAGTTCATAAAAATGCAAGGCGAGAAATCCCTGCGTTTTTGTTTCATTACTTTAACGCGATTTAAAAGCTTTGGATTTGGCAAATAGCCTATATAAACTTCACTGAGTTTGTATCACGGAGTTTATTTAATATTTGTTACTAGAATCACTTCAGCTTATGTATGATTAAGGAATGGAAAATTATTCACGATGTTAAGATGTGTCTCTATGTAAAATAACCGATTACAACATATTCTTTTACTTATACTGGTTTCCAATTAAAAAACTAAATAGCAATAAATATAAAAGCCAGATGCAACTAATATCTCGTCTGAAAACAGACAGCGCAAACAACGACGAGCTTTTGTTTCAAAATATACAACTTTGACATCTGCCAAACCAGTACAAACACAATCCGGCGGAAGGCGGTGGTACACACCCGACTTAAATCAAATAACTGTATTGCTTTTAGCTTTGTAAAGCTTGAAGTGCAATAGCGTCTCTGGCGGATGTTCAGCCCCGTCTCCGGCGTGTACTCTATGATATTGCCCACGCCCTTTACGTGTCGCCGGGCGAAGACGCACGCACGCAGCACGCCGCGCTCGTTCGTTCTGCCGAGATACAGTCACGACCCAACTGCTCCAGTTTATCCCTTTAATTGCCTTTTTTTCTGCACGGCGGCTTCGAGCGCTCTCGCCGTATCTCCTCACGTCGCAATTACGGAGACGTCTTATGATAAATCTGCCGTAATTTGCATGAGATAGCATACGCTCTCAACTTTCACGCGGAGCTTCCTACTCTTGTCGTTTATTAAGTTAGGGAACGTTTCCACGAATAAGAATGAGCTATTTAACAACTAACTAGACACTGTCGACTTCGTTTAATATCGCTCGGCTTTGTCACTGCGCACTTCTTGCGTTTCCGTCCGTCGGTTTGTGCCATCTCATTTGCTGGAGCGGGTCGTTTCGTGGGCAGCGGGACTTAATACGAGACAATTTCGTTTTCATTCAATTTTTCTGTACGTAGAATAAAATGGTACGGGGTACAGAAATGGCGGTGCAATCTCAGCGCAGCGACGCGACTGCTACTCTCCGGCGATTTAGATTTTTTTCTAGTTACCGGTACTTTGGGAGGATTGCAGTGTAAGCGGACTGGTACGCGGACGCCCTGTTTGCTGAAGGATGCGGCAAAATACTCTGTTCGTACGGAAAAAAATGCCTTATGCTTGCAATTTTGCTCGAATTTCCAGTTCTATATTTAAAAAACTATATTTTTTAGTTTTATTACAATCCGCACTGCTCCTGTTTATGTTACATTAAAGTTGATTCCATATATTTTATCCTTAGACGAGTATCTTTAAAACAAATGTGATGTGCATACCATTAATTTAAATACATAATTTTTACGTGTCATTCATTTAAATCGAATTGCTTTTTCAATTTAATATTTCTATTACGCAAAGACTGTCTTTAGTTTCCGCGACTGGTACACATTTAAACACACACTCTAACGATCTAAAATGCGATGTATATTAGTTAAACGTCGGGCCTTAAAATAATTTCCAAATAAGTTTAACCGATATACATCGCGTTTTAAACCATTAAAGTGTTTTATTTAAATTTTGGTATGTATTTAATTGGTAAGCCCGAAAAAAAAACTACAGAGCACAGAATTCACTCTATATAGAGTAAAGAAATTAATTTTTTTTAAATCCATCTATATGTTGATATTTCAAACTAGATAAATGTATGTATGAATATCCCCATTCCCTATTAGGGTGAATACGCATTTCGCCATTAAATATTAGCTTGATTAAAAGCTGCGATATTATATATTTTATCAACACGGATCATTTATAATCAAACGCAAAGTGGAGTCCATCGAAATAATCATTTGCTGTATGTGAACATGCCGATATGTGACATTCGATTTCGCAATTAATGCAAATCAATGGTAGGACGTTCGATTGATTCTGGACTAGCGGGGGCAGATCAATTAAGTTAATGAGCTCCGAGGATCCGTATCGCTGACGTTCCAAGCGGAAACTTATGTTTATTTCTCAGTTGTAGTGGTTTCTGTTCAGACATAGTTATGATTAAAATTAATTTCAGTTTTTTAATGACACACGAGGCCAGTTAAGCAAGATTTACTAGAATGAAGGAGAGTGACCCCAGTCATATAACATCTAAACAAGATACTGCATGTCTATAGTTTACGCGAGTAGTATATATTTAAATAAAACACTTTAACGGTTTAAAACGCGATATATTAGTTAAACTTATTTGGAAATGATTTTTAACTTTGGCCCGATGTTTCGGATGCTTTGCAGCAGCCGTGGCCACGGGGGAGGGCCGAAAAGGTAAAAATAATTTTCAAATGAGTTTAACTAATATATCGCGTTTTAAACCGTTAAAGTGTTTTATTTAAAAGATACTGCCACTATCTATCCGTAAACGTGGTTCTTCCACTAATTTAATATCTTTTAGAAAAATTATAAATTGGTTTTAGAAACATGTTGGTTTAATGTAAGTATCTAATAAAATCTCTATAAAGAAGGAGTGCACAATGCTTATCTAGAAAATAATAGAAATAAAAAAAACATAAGGCACTCACCACATTGTTAGTTCTATAAGAACAGAACTACCAACAAAAGTATCAACTACAAAAATGTAGATGGCGCTAGCGTAGCTGTTTTGTGTTTGACATTAGTGACGTTTATCATCTGTAGGTACCCTTGACAAACGCTGACACTCTTTTGTTTTATTTAATAAATATCGTGATTGAAAACCGTAATCTTCTTCACATGATGATATTATATATATTAAAAATCTATTTAGAATATACACATATAGGACACGGTAGCTCAATTGGTGAGGTAGTAGATTAGGTTGGATAGGTAATTGTAAGAGGTACCCGTTCCTGTACCACCAGTATCGTAATTTTTTTAATGTTATATTTCTAATTGAATTATTATACTGTTCAAGACTTTACATGTTTCATTTCTAGTTATTATGACGTTTCCAACGACGCTTGCTTCTCATTGAAATGTAATTAATTCCAACCAATAGCGCACACTTCACAATGGGCATTTGACAACCATTGGCATCAAGTTGCACCTGTAATATTCAATATCGTAAGCCGATCATGAAGCTAATGAGCTCTAGATGTATCGGAGCCGTTTGGATATTATGCAAATTCGATGCTGCCGGAAAGCCTCTGGCTGGCTCCGTTAGCGAAGCTTAGCCATAACAAAGGATTTCTGCTATAGGATAGCCGTTTTTCATACTTCCCCAGAGATTATTATGATTAATTTTGGAAAGCTCAGATTCTAATGGAGAAATTATAAAAGTGTACGTTATAATGTTCAATACGATTTTAACGGTTCAAACCGCGAAATATATAAGTTACTTAAATTAAAAATCGATTTTAAATTGAGCTACCGTGTCGATTGGTTAGAGCAACAGCACGGAACACGTGGATGGTGGTTCAAGTTCTGCCAGTGTCGTATATTTTTTCAATTTATAATCGATTTTTAAATTATATAGCGCTATCATATACATGTATAACATGATAAAAATGTTATAAGTTTAAAATATATGTTACTTGTATTTCACTTAGTTTAACAATCAACAAGCAATCAAAACGGCGGGTCGAATTAAAGTAATTTGTAAAATTTTATTAATACATTTTGCGTTTTAAACTGTTAAAAGGGTTTTATTTAAATATGTACTATGCGGCAAAACTATATATAACACTTAATACGTAACATCAAACGTGTCAAATAATATTTTGTTTATATAACGGTAACGAAGCTACAAGGAAGAAAACGAGAAAATGCTATCAAACACTTTTGACGGTTTAGTACGTGATATACATTGGATAACGTTTTAGATGCTTTGCATAATACTATGTTAAGTTATTATTTTGCGTTTTAAGCCGTCAAAATTTCTTCAATTTTATATGAAATTACCTCTAAAAATTGGCAAAAAACTTCATACATAATTTATGAATAGAACACAATCAATGAATCAGACTCAAATTACGAAATCCTTAACCTTTCGCCAAAGTCGGATAAAACAGTTACCTACACCCAGTGTTTTAACTTTTTCATCGCGACTGAACCCAGGTGGCGACACTGAGTAACCCTAAATGGTCAATGTAGTGATTTTATAGCTAATAACATAAGAGAGGTTATCTCCACTTACTAGCACAGAGGTATATCAAACAAATAAAAGACTAAGTTTACGGAATGTGGAACGTAATATTTTGTTAGTAGTCGTTACAAGTAGTAGATTATAAAACTCGATGACATAATAACTGGAAAGCGCGAACAAAGTACTATTACCTACCTTTCTTTTGCCAAAAAAAGGATATTTTATTTTAGATCTTCCAGTTTAAATTCCGTATTTCTAATTATTGATATAGCAACATAATAAATTATACCTCTTCAACCAATTGTCTCCAATTGGACACGGTAGCTCAATTGATTGGAGCAACAGCACAGAACGCTGTGGACGCCGGTTCAAGTCCTTCCCGCGTCGAAAGTTTTTTTTCAACCTCTAATCGATTTTTAATTTATATAATGTCATTATGTGAAAAATGCATAAAGTTTTCACATAATCAATCGAGTAATTAAACTTATCAAAATCAGCTCAGCATTTTAAATATGTAAGGGATAGATAAATAAAATTACTCGTCTTTAAGGAACAGTGCTTTGGTGGACGGTGTCCGCAATGCACCAAGTGACGTGGTTTCTTCATACTCCGTCGTTTATCAAAGTCGATCGCTCCACACATATCGTGAGAGTCTATTACTTGCACACGCATCATGTTAGGCGAACTTGATTGTCGGGGGACATGGATCGAAGACTTGATGGTTCATATAATTTATGACAGTGAACTCTACTATGAAAGGTTTTGTTTTTGTTCACGCAACGCTCTGAAAAATATTTAGGTTGAATGTTGTTATTGCTTTGTGGCTACGAAATGTACAAAATTTCATTGTTTCAATGAGAGATTCGCGCAGACTAATATAGAAATAGCTGCGGTGGATATTTAAAATAACACTTTATTTTCGCTGTTTAATGCTCGACGAAGTAGAGACAGTCGAACAGAATATCAAAGATCGTAAGTCACGAATGTAGGTGAAAAATGAAAAATACTTAACCTTCGGCTCTGTACTTCCTTTGTATTGCAGATTTGCTCATACACCTCGCGGAACGGGTATAGATGAAAACTTATTTGAATACAACGCGAACAATGTAAATACCCGCGCGTAACGGAACGAAGGCATTTGACAGGAAGAGAATAGCCCGGCACATATCATAAGAAACAATACAACGTGCAATTCTGACATAAATCATATTTTTGTATTCCTATCGGCTACGTATTTTTAATATTAAACGCTGAGTCGGGACGACTCTCATAAGATCGCCGCTCGCAGTGGCACCTATTAAAAGCGAAGACAATATATTCCAGCCGTCGTATATCAACATTTCGTGGATGTATAAACATTCTGCGTTCAATCATACCGCTTAAGGCGGCGCCAGTGCGCGAATAAATCAAGCTCCTCACTTTTTCACCTGCCACACACAAAGGTTTTCTTACTGAAACTTGATTTGGGTTATTTCTGACGAAATATCAGCCTATTTGTTATACTATTGATATGGACGTGCGTGCTCCGCGTGTTTGCGCTCGTCGCGGAGAGGGATTGAGTGAAAATTGCTTTACGACAGTGCCTATCGAATTTCTTATTAGCGCATCGATCG